GGGTGATTTTGATTGGGTGCCTCTTCCTTAAAAAAGCAACATAAAGAAACAGGCAGATACTCTAAGTACAAGGTAAATTGAGGCCTGGTGATCTGTTTGAGTTGCTCTTTTTTTTGCACTGTTTTTCATAGCGATGTCTCACCTAGCTTAAAGTCTATTTCCATGCCCATTTTAGCAGAAAGGCACATTGAGTTTATCAAGCAGAATTACTCATTCTGTATTCTCACCACTGATTTTCACTGAAACCTGTGTACAAGAATATACATTGATGATTTTATCCTAAATTTAATTTCACTGATTTCGGCTTATCGTTTTAGCCTTAGTTAATTATATATATTATCATATATATATATTATCATATATCATATGATATATGACATCATATATATGATATGATATTTCATGATATATGATATATGATTATATATATATATATATATATATATATATAGTTAATCTTTCATTGAATGCCTATGAATGGTAAACTCAATCTTGGCCTGAAAATATCTTTATTTTATCCTCTTTGTTGAATTTTCACTTTAAAGTATAATGGAATCTTAATTTGATAGGTAGTTTACATTGAGTGCATTTTTCCAAGTATTTAACTTATCACCCTACTGAATGAATATGTTCTCTATAGATTTTTTTTCCCCGTATCCTTTTTTACTTCTGAATCTCTCTTCCTGCTAATTTACTGTTTAACAGTGGTTTATTCCTCACCAAGTGATCCCTTGTGACAAGGCAAACCAATCTGAATAAACTTAAGAGTTCCCACCTTCTCTTGCTACTGTTGTATTTCTTTCCTCTACATTCATTGCTTTCCTCTCCTGCCTGGAAATTAGATGCCTGTGGTAGACTGGAGATCTATATCATAACCTCACTCACTCTGTGTGAATGTAAGTGAGTGCTGTGAGGGGGTAACAAACAGAACGTCTCAGCTGGGAGAGAAAAATTATTCGCATAAAGAAACAAACGCAACGAGCCAGAAACTGGTGCAAGCTATACCCGTATGAGAAATAGTCGCGAAATCTAAGACGACCCACCGAGATAAACAAAAGCTGACAAAAGCATTTTGTATAAACCAGTGAGCCTTTCCTCCCCACTCAGGAATACGGGTCTGCAGTATAGAGATCTGAGAGCATTTAATGATCCTTCTCCAAACATAAGTAATTCATGTCCATTTTAGAGCGAAAGAAATTAGTTCTGTAAAAACCGAGACACCTGCCGGGATCGACTGCCAGAGAATGGGGAGCAGTTGGAGTCAGTGGCTGCCAGTCTGTCTCCTGGGACCAAACATCCTGACCTTTTTCAGCCTAGGAGAGGTTGTCAAAACATTACGGATGTTGAGGTTAAGAATGTGCCTCCTGTTAGATGCATTGACAAATACAGGTAACACAAGGGGATCCTTTCGTTCTCCTCGGCCGCTGCTTAGTTTTCCCTCCAGCAATAGAAAATTCTGAAGGATAGATGAATGAGCTCTAATAGCACAGTTCATTTGGATGTCTTTTCTCTTCAACTTTGCAATGTATCCAGTGAGAATAATCTCCTGCGTAGGTGGTGAAATTTCATGGGAAGGGACAGCGTCCCACTGAAAACAACCCAAGAAGAGCCACAGGTACTAAGTATTTTCAGGACCTGTAATTTATCATCAGCCTTCTTCCAAAGACTGTAACGAGAATACCTACCACTTATTGAACATGGACTGTGTGCCAGGCACTGTGGTGTTCTACTTGGAGTATCTTTAGTCCTCACGAAAATTATATGAGATATATACTATTATCATTATCTTTGTATTACAGAAGACGAAAGTGAGGCTCAGAGACCCAGAATTTGTCAAGGTTGCTCAGTATGTAAGTGGTGGAAATGAATTTCTGACTTCATCAAATCTGTTTAAGTTAAGAGTCTTTCTTCTTGGGGTGCGTGCACCCCTCAGCTGGTTAGGCCTTCAGCTTTGGCTCGGGTCGTGATCTCCCGGTTTGTGAGTTCAAGCCTCATGTCGGGCTCTGGGCTGACAGCTCAGAGCCTGGAGGCTGCTTCTGATTCTGTGTCTCCCTCTCTGCCCCTGCCCTGCTCACACTCTGTCTTTCTCTCTCAAAAATAAATAAACATGAAAAAGAAATTTGTTTTAAGTCTTTCTTCTTAACACCATGAAATGCTCCTGTGGTTTCCCTGTTCTGTTTGATATCAGCTGCTTTCTCTCCATCCTCATGAAAATTGAGTGCAAATAAAGCAGGATGGTATTTGTGTTAGATGAGACTCCGGGTGGCTAGCACAGAAAACCCAACCCAAGCTGGAATTAACAACAGATTTAGATAAATGTACCGTCTTCCAAATGAAAACTGGACCTGAGAGAACACTGTGTGTTGATTGGCTCAGGGTGGGATGACATATCCCTTCATGAACCACACGCTGCAGCAAACGAAATGGTAACTTGGATTACAGTTTGGGCAATTCCTGAAGCCAGGGATGGGGACAATTCCATCAAAATTGAATAGCTGCCCCTTGAGGTAGGGTGAGGGAAATGGGAAAATAGAAGCAGAGGAAAATGAAGGGAAATAAGTCAGAGTCAAAGAAATAGAACCCTTACTTTCTTGGCCAGTAAGACTAACATGTCAATTAAACATAAAGAAGGATCATGACTAGATTCCACATCTTAGAAAACTTCCACTGATGATTTGTGAATTAGCTATCTATCGCTGCATTGAGACAAATTATTCCAAAATGTAGGTGCTTAGAAGATGAGACATTTATTTCTGTAGGCTGGTTACTTGGGTATAGCTTAGCTGGCTTGGCGTCTTTTATTAGGTTGGCTGGGGGAAGATCTTCCAAGCTCACTCAGGATTGTTGGTAGAATCTAGCTCCTCCTGTTGGACTCCAGGCCTGTGGCACTGAGACACTTTCCTTGCCGTGTGGGCCTCTCCGCAGGACAGCTCACCACAGGCACTGGCTTCCCTCAGAGCAAACAAGCAACAGAGCAAAGGAAAATGTCCAAGACAGGCTTTTTCACAACCTAATCTTGGAAGCGATACCCTATCGTGTCTGCCATATTTTATTCTTTAGAAGTGAGTCAGTAAGTCTACCCCACTTTCAGGAAAGAGGAAGACACAGATGTGTGACTATCAGGCAGGAGCGGGGGATCTTTGGCGGCCATCTTAGATGCTGCCTACCATAATGCATAAGGTGCGCATTGGTGCATCTGTGTGTGTGCTTATGTTTGGGGTTGGTGGGTGGTCTGTGGTCCCACATGATATGGGTCCAATGGAGCATTGAGTTCTTATGGACTCTCCTGTTAGGAACATTAGAGGGATAAAAGGGTAGTCATGGTGCCTATAGGAAAGAGACAGCCTTCACAAGTTGAGAGTTTGAGCTGGTTTAATAAAGGGATTATTTATGGGTCTCCGGGGTGGCTCAGTCAGTTAAGCATCTGACTTTGGCTCAGGACATGATCTCATGGTTGGTGAGTTCGAGCCCCACAACAGGCTCTGCTGTCAGCACAGAACCTGCTTCGCATCCTCTGTCCCCCTCGCTCTCTGCCCCCCCCACTTGTGTTCTCTCTCTCTCTCTCTCTCTAAAAAATAAATAATAAACATTAAAATAATTAAAAAGGGGGCACCAGGGTGGTTCAGTTGGTTAAGCATCTGACTTTGGCTCAGGCCATGATCTCTCATTCTTGGGTTTGAGCCCCGTTCCAGGTTCTGCACTGACAGCTCGGACCCTGGAGTCTGCTTTGGATTCTGTGTCTCCCTCTCTCTCTGCCCCTCGCCCGCTTGCGTTCTCTCTCTCTCTCCCTTTCTCTCTCAAAAATAGATAGTCATTAACAAAAATTTTTAATTAAAAAATTAAAAAAAATAAAGGGACTATTTAAAAAGGTGTAGGTAAGCATAGCACAATTGCAAGGAATAGCGCATTACTCCCGGGCTTGTGACAGGATGGCACGTCACTACCCGGAGGGCTGAGGCAGTAGAGGAGGGAGCAGTTATGAGAAGTAGGACAGGATATATCTGCATGAGAAGATGCCAGCCAGGAGCTATGACTTTCCACCAAAGGAAGAAGTCAGCCTATGGCATCTCCACAGGGAAGGTGCCAGGGGAATAAATACATCGGCTTATTCTCCTCCAGTCTCCTGCTGGCACCACCCATTGGCTGGACCCAACTAGAATCCAGAAGGCAAGAGAGTCCGCTGATCTCAATACAGGTCAGCCTCCAGGGTACAAAGTATGTGGGAAGGGTAAAGGGCCTATCAGAGGTACAGACACTAAGTGAATACTTATGAGGAAAACCATCCCCACGATAGACAGAGAGGAAGAAACAGGCTAACCTGATGAGGTGTTGTTTAGAGCAATCTAGAAGGAAAGATTTGCTGGCAGAGATGGGTAGTGAACATCAAAACAGGTTTTCATATAACTGCGTCTCTTGGAGAATCCTTAAAAGTGGGAAACCCATATCCGCCTCTACGAAATGATGTGGGCAAACTTGCACTGATGAGAGGAGCCTGGGTGGCGAGGATGACTTTGAAGGGTCCTTGTAACTTGAGGATTCTGTGTTCCAGGGGGAGTGATGGAAATCAGGAAACAGGATCTCCTGCAAAATGTTCCCAGCGCTTTGAAATGGAAATTAGGCTAATTCCAATTTAGGAATCAAATTAGAGCAACTAGTCAGGGTGTTAGTGGGTTGTGCTCGTCCCTGTTTGAAGTTACAGACGAATGCTGCTTTTTCCTGGATGAAGCAGGATCCCACTCAGCCTGTTTTCATCTTTACTTAGCACCTGCTGGCTTGGAGCGGTGTCGCCCAAGCAATCAGACGGAGGCATGCGCCAGGAGCTTGACCTCCTGTGTCTGCTGCCCCTCCCCCACGCCCCATGACAGCCTCTCCTGATATGGATGGACAGGGGCCGGTTTAAAATGACAGTCTCAAGTTCGTGTAGGAAGGGAAGGCTAATTCAAAGAAACGGCCAGGCAAGCTTCCTGCCTCTGTAGGAATAATTTTCATCCCCCTTCACCATGGCCCACCTGGGAGCCCATTTTGCCTTTCGATCCCGCTGGCAGAAGACCGACGACGAACTCTGTCGACATAGCATGTCCTTCATCCTTCACAGAGCCATTCGCAATGACTTCTTTCAGAGCTATCTCTACCTGCTGGAAAAAATTCCCCTGGGTAAGTGAGTCAGAGCTACTAGAGAAGGGACCAGAAAGGGGGGACCGTGGCGAGGTCGCGCAAGAGGAGTTAGAACCAGGACTCTTTTCAGATAAAAAGAACCCATGACCAATGTCAGTGGGCTTAAATGTTTCAATGGCATTCTTTCTCGCAGGGCGCAAAGGCCGGGTCGGGTGCTGCCTGGCAGGTCAGGCCTCCACTTTGGGATTTCCACGCACCCTCAGCCACTGTGATTTGCTTCCCAGGGTGTTGGTTTGCTCACAGAGATTCAATTCCTGTGTTTTAGAGGACATTTTTAATATCTGCAAAAATCGAGACGGGGGGCAGGTTAGGTAACACAAAGGTGAGAGTATTAATGCAGTAGTATATCAACTAAGGGTCCAAAAAAAAACAAAAAACAAAAACTAAACCATAATAGAGCAAGGTGTCTGTGTGTGTGTGTGTGTGTGTGTGTGTGTGTGTGTGTGTGTGTATGTGTGTATGAGCCCACGCTCCGCACACAATCCTTTCTGGCTTCCCTGAGTCACAATAATAGCCGAAAAGGAGCAAATTTTACTTTGGTCTTTGAATTTTAAGAAAAAAACTGGGGCAGTGGTCTGTCTCCATTTTCGTTATTTCCTCTAGCTTTCAGGGAATTAGACAATGGGCAATAAAAAGCTTATCGGGTTTGTCTCCACTACTTTTCTCAGCCTCTGTGAAAGTGGTTACTTCAAGGGACTCTTAACAGCACTGAAGAGGAAATAACTGGCGATTAAAGAGTGAAGTGTCCCCCTTTGATTTATATTTTCCCCCAATGAAAGCAGAAACAGTATGTATCAGCCCCAGTCTGTTTTCTTAAGGCTGTCTCAAAGCCTCATTGTGCCCTTGATGTAGCCAGGCTTTCCAGACGTCGTAGGAACTAATAATTCTTTGTATTGCGTTCAAGAAACTAGATACCAGCAGACCACGAAATTTTCTTTTCATAAATCCATTCCTGAAGGGATATTTAATTCTCGACATACAAATACACTCATCTCATACTTAGACAATGTTTCTTAAAATTTTTCCATATTTGTAATTTTATTTGATCCTCACAGCCATATTATGGGATAGAAAGGAAAGTAGCATTATTTTTTTCTTCCCACCTGTGCACCTCCGCTCCCCCTCCCGCCCCCCCCATCTTGTTTCTTCAAGCAGGGAAAAGAAAATCAGAGATGATGAGATCTAATCTAGACAGATCTCATCTAGATACCAAAGCAAGAACCCAAGACCAGGGTTCTTTCTGGTAGATCACACCGCCCACAGTAATTCTTCTAGGATGTGTCATGCATCTCATTTGTATCCAACCGGAGAACACTAGAGCAGTCCATTTGGAAGGTGAGGATGTTCTGGTTGCTCCACACACCAGCAGAGCATTGTTTTTCCAGAACTAATTCTTGAGTATCTTGTGTGCACCCCATCTCGATAACGGTAGCCTGGTGGCCTTAGTTATCAAGAGAAAGATATCAGGAGAAAGATATCAATTACAATTACTAGGATACTCACTAAGGGGCAGATGGCTGCCAGATTTTAAAAATAATTACTAGAGGGGCGCCTGGGTGGCTCAGTCAGTTGAGTGTCCGACTTCGGCTCAGGTCACGATCTCATGCTCCGTGGGTTCGAGCCCCGCGTCGGGCTCTGTGCTGACAGCTCGGAGCCTGGAGCCTGCTTCGGATTCTGTGTCTCCCTCTCTCTCTCTGCCCCTGCCCTGCTCGTGCTCTGTCTCTCAAAAATAAATAAACATTAAAAAAAATTTAACCAAATTACTAGAGAGGAAAAGGAACACACCCCTGAAAGTAGCTGAAGGTGAATCGGAAAGGAATCTTTTCCGTATCATCTGAAAATCAGATGAAAATTGACTGGGACAAGTAGGCTATAATTTATATTTTGCCTAAATCCCTTTTTTCACCCAATAGAGTCATTCTGATTTTACCTATTTTTCTCTTCTGTGAATGTGCTGATAGTTTAGCAGTGATTTCCAATCTCTTAAAAATTATTAATAAAAGACAAACATTTTGACAAAGTCTTCCATGTAAGCCCAAAGGAAAACAATAGACACTCATTTACTTTTCCTCTTCTTTATCTATAGAGTTAGCATTTGCCATGGTTCTTGGCCCATAGAAAGAACTCGATCAATACCTGCTCGCAACAGATTAAACGATCCCTTAGTAATAATCAGTTGCACGTCGCTAAAGTCTTGAGTGCGACTTCTGGCACTGCTGCTGATAGAAGAGTCACCAAAGTGAATGCAAATTCCTGAAGTCTCTGAGCATCATTTTCCTCAAAACCACAGGGCAATCAGAAGGATTAAATGCAGTTACATATGTGAAAACCGTCAAGGCTCAATAAGGACTCGTGTTGTTTTTGTTTTTGTTTTTCCTTTTCCTTCCTCAGAACCAGACCTCTTTTAAATTTTTTTTTTTCAACCTTTATTTATTTTGGGGATAGAGAGAGACAGAGCATGAATGGGGGAGGGGCAGAGAGAGAGGGAGACACAGAATCGGAAACAGGCTCCAGGCTCTGAGCCATCAGCCCAGAGCCCGACGCGGGGCTCGAACTCACAGACCGCGAGATCGTGACCTGGCTGAAGTCGGACGCTTAACCGACTGCGCCACCCAGGCGCCCCGGAACCAGACCTCTTTTAATGTCACCATGTAGGTCTTCCTTAGACTAGGTATCACCAAAGATGTTAAGCTCAGCTCACTCTATGGGACTTCCCAAGCAGCCGTGGGTGTTAACGCTTTTTAGTCTGAACCCAAAACGAAGCCAGTAGTTCTCCCTCCCCAGCTCCACTCAGGTGTTTTACAATTGGCTTCCCCCGCCTTTTGATGATTTCAAAACTTCACAGAAATGAAAATAAAGCCCTTAAAAAAAAAAGGTTAAGGAATGGCTACTGCAGGGTATACACAGAGAGTTTGTTGTTTAGGGTAATTATGGGAAGGATGTGGCTAACCAGACTCTTTGATTCCTTCTTTCCTTCCTCCCTCCTGCTAACTGCCTGCATTGGGTAGCCAGTCCCTCACAGCACGCTCTGCAGGGACATTCAGTCATGGGGACCTTTGCTCAAATATCCTCGGCTAGCTTCAGAAATTCGTGGAGAAGCAAAAGCGTGCATCCTAAAAATCTCCAGTGAAGGCTCAGCTATGCCACTGAATACAACCCCTCTTCAGGAAGGAGTTAAGTAACCTGCCGTGGGTCACGTGGCTTTGGGTGGTGGAGCGGGGTTCAACCCGGGCGGTCTGACTCCAAATCTGCCTTTTTTGAACCTCAAAATCCTGCTGCCTCCCAATGAAAATTTCCAAAGGTGGCTGTTTGTGCACAGATAGGAAATAAACAGGAGAACAATTATATACATCTCCAGTTCATATACCAGGGCTCAAAGGGGCTCATGCAAGGCCTGATGGAGACGTTCCCGTAAGTTAACCAGTCAGTAATTCTTCTAGCACTATCCACCGTGTATTTCCAAGTACACAGAAGTCAATGAATATTTATTAGTTATATATTGAGCAAGAGTCTAGCACTCCTGGACTTCGTTAAAGTCTTGGTCTAACTTCACCTTTAGAACAATGGTTCCACAGAGTTCAGCAGAATCGGGGTGGGGCGGGACCTGGCCATGACCCTTCGTTTCTGTGTGATATTAAGTTACTAAATCATTCTGCGTCACTCATCACTCATCTGCAAAATGATGCGCATAATCCCAGTTTTGAGTTATCATGGTGAGGAGTGAAAGAGAAAATGTGAAGAGATGGTAAGAAAGTGTTTAGTACAATGCCTGGTATACTGTTCCCACAAGTTCTTAGTACCCACCCTTTACTTGACTCTCTCTAGAAGAGTAAGTCTCTGAGGAGGAAATTGATAACAATGGTCACCTTTTTGCCATCACAATTAAAAGCCAGAGTTAATAAAAACACTTCCTGTAAGACACGTGGGACTGCCAAATAAAACTCAGCGTATAACCATTGGCATTTTTCAAATTGATTTCACCCCCGTGGCCGGTGTTGCTCTACAACTCCCTGAACAGTGATGCTTTGTTCAAATGTTTACTGTTCCCTTCGCAAAGCTGCGAGATTATTTTTCTCTTTAAAGAAATGGAGAACCAGATAACTCCCCTTTTTATTTAGCAGACCTTCAGATACACAGCATGAGACGGATGAGATCCGGGTTTGGGATTTATAAAATTTTTTTTTTTTTCAACTTTTTTTTTTATTTATTTTTGGGACAGAGAGAGACAGAGCATGAATGGGGGAGGGGCAGAGAGAGAGGGAGACACAGAATCGGAAACAGGCTCCAGGCTCTGAGCCATCAGCCCAGAGCCCGACGCGGGGCTTGAACTCACGGACCGCGAGATCGTGACCTGGCTGAAGTCGGACGCTTAACCGACTGCGCCACCCAGGCGCCCCAAGGGTTTGGGATTTAAATAGACCTAGGTTTAGGGACGCCTGGGTGGCTTAGGTGGTTAAGCATCCGACTTGGGCTCAGGTCATGATCTCATGGTTCGTGAGTTTGAGCCCCCCCATCGGGCTCTGTGCTGACACTTCAGAGCCTAGAGCCTGCTTCGGATCCTGTCTCCCTTTCTCTCTGCCCCTCCTTCACTTGCTCTCCCTCCCTCTCTCTCTCTCTATCCCTCTCTCTCAAAAATAAATAATAAAACATTTAAAAAAAAATAGACCTGGGTTTAAATTCCAGTTGTGTCCTCACTAGCTACTCGATCTCGGGCTCGTGTTCTTGCTGCCTCGTGTTCTTCCATGGATAATACCATCTCTCACCTATTCAGTTAATATAAATGCTTAGCATAGGTAGGGCGTACATCCATGTGCGATCAATGATAGTTACTATTTTCTTATTACATGGGTATGCCTAATTAGGAGGATAGATGTCTTACAAACTATATGAAAACTGTAACTTGTGTCACTTATGTCAGCTTTTCCCTATAGCCACTCTCCATTTTGTTGAACCTGTATGTTACTCGAAGAACAAAACGC